CGGCCTTAAGTCGATCCCCCACCCGGTGTTGCGAGTCCACTCCCGCCACAAGGACACTCAATCGATTGGGCTGATCTATAAAGTCCGCCATGTCCACCAGTTCAGTGCGGTTCTGCACGTTCACAATTGTCAGCAGAGTGTGCTCGTTCTTCAGTTCTCTGGGAATATATGGAAAAATATATATATTATAATTAAATATAATATATATGCACTAAAAGCTAAAGTAGAGCTTGTTCGTACTTACCGCTTGAAAGCGAAAACTCTGCGATTAACCACTTCTGGAACGAAGGATCCGTTCCTCAGAACTGGCAACTGTCGGAGCTTCAAAAGGGACTGATATGTTTTGTAATGACTTCGTCTTGTCTGCTGCTGATTGCGAAGATTGAGTTCCTTATAGTTGGGATTAACAGGCAGCCAGGTGCGATTGGCGGAGGAGAAGCCTGCATTCAGATCACTACTCCATTGCATGGGAGTACGCTCAGGATCCCTAGAGATTGTCCTGTAGTTATCGATTCCAGCCTCACAAGCGGGCTGATCCACAGTATCGCTCCAACTGATGTCCCTGTAATCAGTCATGCCCAATTCCTCGCCCTAAAGTGAAGGAAAATCTCTATAAAATGATCCTTAAGCAATGCATTTTCGGTACAAACATAATAGGTTATAGCAATTCCAGGCAATGTCATTAGCAGCATATTCATGGCGTCCACAGATTTCTCACCAAATCGGGATGCCACCCGCGGATTGTCGTGGTTTCCCATCACCCAGTTGGCCACATGACCATGTGGCATGTAGATGAGCCACCTGGAGATATAGAAGACAAAGTCCGCAGCTGTCGAATTAGCATTCAGTTCGGTGATGAAGTCAAAGTTGAAGGGAAACTCGGGACCCTGAACTCCATTTGAATCTTCGTAGTATTCCATTAGTTGGGACACCGAAGCGTAACCCTCGGTCATCATTATCCTCAGTGGTCCCTCGTGGTCCGCTGTATAATTATCCAGGAGTTGTCGCCAATGCTGAAGAAGACCATAGTCCTCAGGCTGATTTCTGGTATAGATGTGGCTCAAGTAGGCCTCATTATTCGGGTCATCGGTAGTGCCACTGGGAGGCTCATCCCTCAGTTGAGCATCCTCGTAAATATAAATAATGGCATCGATGCGGAAGCCGGCAATACCCTTGTTTAACCAGAAGAGCATCACATCGTCCATGGCCTTGATCACGTCGGGATTCCGGTAGTTCAGATCGGGTTGTCCATAGGTAAACTGCCTCAGGTAGTACTGCTGCCTCTCCTCGTTCCACATCCAAGCGGATCCGGAGAACACCGACAGCCAATTGTTGGGCGGAGCACGAGTACCGTTCTCCAAGAGAATGCCATCCTCCCACACATAGAAATCCTCGTATCCTGGCTCTCGGGCCACTGACTTTATGAACCAGGGATGCTTATTCGAGCTGTGATTGGGAACAAAGTCCAGGATCACCTTTATGCCCAGTTCATTGGCCTTGGCTATCAGGGCGTCAAAGTCCTCAAGGGTGCCATATTCCGGCTGTATGTTTGTATAGTTTGATATATCGTATCCAAAGTCCACCATTGGCGACTCATAAATGGGACTCAACCATACGGACGTGATGCCCGTATCCTTGAAGTACTGCAACCTGGAAGTAATACCTTGAAGGTCACCAATTCCGTCGCCATTGCTGTCCTGAAACGATCTCGGATAGATCTGGTAGAAGACCTCGTGCTGCCACCAATTGTATTTCGCATCCAGTTCCTTTGACTGGTGGATGCGGGCCCAAATCCCTACAAGGCCCACACTCAAAATGAAAGTTGTTTTCACTACAACCATCGTGGTCAACGAACGAACTTGTTTTCTATCATCATCAAACTTTTGCCGGCTTTTTATACTGCAGCCGGCTTTTCAATTCCGGTTTTGTTTATTTGACTTGGCGATTTGATCGCTTAAATATTTGAGCAATTGTTGAATCACTTTGAAAATTGCTTGAATGGCATTAAACATTTAAAGTTTTTTGTTTGACCCCGCTGTTACAACGGCCAGTTGGCCAAACAGTGCGAAATTTTCTAACCTTTGCATCAAAACAATGGAAATGTAAAACTGGCGCGAAGGAATGTCTGAACTAAATCAATACATAGTTATTGCTGAAAGACGACTTGTAAAGTAATGTTTAAACCTTTTTTAACCAAGCTACGACTAGCAAATATAAAACAGAATAAACATTTATCCTTAACCAGCTTTCTTGATTATGTGCATTATTTTCAAGTATTATATCACCAAGCATAAACGGAACACTCAGAAAGGGCGTTCCACAAATTTCAAAACACGTAGTTCTAATTTGCAACCACTTCCATTTTAAATAACACATTTTTACCCACTTCACAAGCACCTATTAAACACACGCCAATTAAGATTTCCAAACGCGAACTTCCGCTGCGTGACCAGGGCGACCAAATGGAATTTCACCCAATCCCCCATAGACATAATGTCGGCTGAAACTGGCAGCCTAATTAAACATTTTACTAGAGTCAAAACAAGAAAGTGTGTTCCTTTTTACCCTTGAGCAACCGGCTTGCTTAGAAGTTTCTGTATATTGAAAATTCGCCCACAAATATGTGCAGAAATCTGCACGTGTAAGCGAGCAGAGTCGGCATAATTTTCCCGCTTTTCACGGCAACATGAAAAGGGTTTGACAAGGGGGCGTGGCTGCTCGCATTGCGATTCCTTTTCCGACCAAAATCAAAGCGAAGAAAATTCGCTGTAATTTCGAGGCCGCACCTCTGGGGAAAATGAGAAGGAGGCGGGAAAGTGGAAAGTTAAAGCGAAATGTTTTTGGGGGCAGACCAGGCTAATCCGCCGCCTACATCTCCAAACTGTGGCATCTCAGTCACCTGTCTCACCTGTCTGTGGGTTCCTCGCAGGACACCAGGACATACCTTTCATGTTGCGACGCTGATTGAATTGCCTTTTGCGCGAGCAGAGGACGAGTTTCAGAAGCCTTTTGTGTTAGGAAATTCTGAAGGAGAGGAAGGAAATTCATTTTTTACCAGCACTTTTCGATTTGACTTGCTGGCTGCTCCGGTTCGAATAAATAAATATACACGGCCTACATTTTTTATTATGTAAATATTTAATCATATCAGAAAATTCGGGGTGCCTCTCCACCAGCCTGGCATATTTAAAATCAGCTCCCACTAATCCGGTAGCCCCAGATATACTCGTATTTACAAATTTAGCACACGCGCCTAAACATATGCTACGGTTTTCCCCCATCCGCATTTTCCTCCTTTTCGCCTTATCCATTTTTATATCTGCGTCTGCGTTGCCTGACAACCTTTGAGCATCAGCCAATTCGAGTTGGGCGGTCCCTCATACGGCATTTTATTTTTTTTGGGCTGCTATTTAGTGCTGTCAATAGGTTTACGCTTATCAAATACTTGTTATCAAAAATCGATTACAAAAACGGCGGCAGAAGCGGTACGATTTTGTTGGTTTGCTGTCGTTTGTCGAGATTGTCGTTGTCATAAGTAGGTTCCACATGTAAATTTCCACACATCTATCCCGGTTAATTTGCCTGTTTTCGTTCGGGCCCATCCGACCTTCACTATCTAGTTGTTATTGTTATGACTCCAGGCGGGGCAATCCTCTTTCGACCAAGTATTATCATTTTATCGGCTTTGGGTCAGTTAGATAGGCTGGCAGTCAAGTCACTGACTGATATGTGTTCGGCTCTAGGGCACTTTCGTTACAAATTGGTATTACCAATCGGTATTTGCCCATAAGTTGTTTGCAATGAGCGAGTCAGTTTAACAGGTTAAGAGTGGTAATACTTAATAAGATCTAGTTTACTGTTCCCATTGTGACTATCTAACATTAACATTCAAAATATAAACAAATCCGAAACGAGGGGATTTATTTCGCACTCTAAGTAAGGTAAACAAAAATATTGATTGTGCTAACGAGCAGTTTGAAAAATGGAATGTGTGTTTACTCGTTTTTACACAGGCAATAGGGCTTTTTTGGCAATATGCGATCTTAAAAGTTTTAGTAGAAAATATGGTTAATAGAAATTTAAGGCGGAGTGCAGTGTTTTCAACTTACTTCACTATCAGCTCCGCTAAAATGATCTGATATGATATAATCTTTCTCTGGAACGAGATAAAAACACATTTAGGGCTGTGATTCACCCCGTTTATTTTTATCTTTTTAATAACATTGTGGCCAGTAGAATTCTGGACTGCAGCTGTCAGCTTCCTGTCATAAAGCCAATGGCAGTAGCTCATCAAAGCCTGTAAAAGCGGCCCATTACCTTTATTGGACTTGCTTTTTGGTCTTGTTAGTACATCGCCTTTTCGTTGGTATTAGCCAGTTGGTTTGTTTGGACCCAATTTGGATGTTCTGCGACGCACGTATTGGGATTCAATTAGTCAAGCCACTGTGCAGAGTTAATAAATCAAATCCCAACCATCAGCCATCCTCCAGAAAATCGAATCGCTGCTGGCGAACGATTAATTATGCATAAATTTGATTGATGTGCGTGAGGCGACTGTTTAATCGGTGCCGAAAGCGCCTTCGAGCTGGTGGAACCAAAAGTGTCAATGAAAATAAGCTACGACCTAAAGTCACCAGTTGATTAACGAGGTGATGACGCACTCGGCGCCGATTTTAATTAGCATTGAATGGCGTTATTTGCATATAATACACACCGATGCGCCTCGTCGAGAATCAGATTATAAAACAGCTTACTTTTACTTAGACCACATTAATACACTTTAAACGTAAATAAGATTAGATGTTGTAAAATTTCTTATATAGCACTGAATGATTAAAACTAGTAGATCTCTACTGCAGATGCCATTAAACAAATGACGTGAAAATATGAATATACAAATAGTATCTCCGGACACAACACCACACATCTTATTCATATTCAACAGGCAACCAGTTGTGACAAGTGTACTTGCCAGTTAAAAAGAAAAAATAGCTTGATGATATAATTGGTTATTTATTATTTTTTGTTTCTTCATTAAAGTATGAAGTAATTGCTGTGTCAAAAGAATCGAGTGGCTTGGCAAGATCCCAGTTTCTGGATGTTCAGATTTCTGCCGAGCTTCTTATATTCCCGCTGAGTGCACTCAAAAACACATCGATTTTGGTAGGTCACACCATTGGTGCCACAGACCTCTGCCTTTCGAAGATTACAGGGACAATAGCTTGCCTCCGATGGAGCCACAAATAACATGGCCAATAGGCCCAAAAGAGCCAGCATGGCCAAGAACTTCATTTTGCGCAAGAAAATGAAAAATTATCCGATACTCGCAGTCCTATTCCACCAAATGTTCTACCAAGACTGCGTTTAAGATTAATTAATTTACACTTTTACTTTATTTGGTTAGAGTATCTTGGTTATAATATACATTACTGATAAACGAGAGAAAGCATTTTAGATTGTTTCCACAAGAGTATTAAGCTTTTGATAGTCACTTATTCATGTCGAGAACTATCTCACAGCACTCAGCACTGCAGTTTTTATGTATTTTGGCTCCAAATGGGTCCGAAGATTTAACAGCATTTCCGCTTGTCTAGTTGCAAGGTCCATCTTTTTGGATGTTCAGGGTGCGTCCAAGTTTCTTATAATCCCTTTGGCTGCACTCGAACTCGCAGCGGTTTTTGAAGGTAACACCATTTGAGCCGCAGACCTCAGTGCCCTTGGTCTTCAGATCGCAAGGACAATAGCTGCCCTCCGAGGATCCGGCAAAGAGGGCGATCAAAAGGCCCAAGACGACCAGCAAAGTCGGAAACTTCATGTTTTCTACGTGGATGTATGGAGTGAATAGGGTTTTCTGTGCGGAACTCGTCTTCGTTTCGCTGCGAGCATTCAATTAAGACTGAGTTTCGAATTAGTCGTTTGTCGAGAGTGTGAATAAAAGTCGTCGCTGCCTTTGTGTGTGCGTAAGTTTTGCTAATTACTCAAACAAGCTGCTGATTACTGCGCTCCACTCTCCCGTCCCGACCTTCGAAACATCAAACACTCCCCACTTTTTCTCACATACGCGTATGCTGGGTACTCGTTTCATTGGCATGTGTCTTGCGGGCTTCCAGTAACTTACACGGCTGGCAGTTTAGAGCCCGGACCGCCAGAATGGCTAAAATGAAGAGCATCAGACCCAGAAGTAAACCTCTCATGGCGGCAATGAATCCACAACTGGGTCTAACTTAGGCGAATTTCCCCCGGGGCCAGGCAGCTAAGCAAATTGAAATTGAATGGCAATTGAAATTGAATAGCTAGTGTCGTGTAAATTGGCTCACAAAAAGGCTGACGTTTCATTAATTACCGTGCCTCATAAAAAGCGAGGCAAAGTGCATGTAAATTCTGTGTAGATTGGGAAATTCCCTCGACTATACCTGATCGCTGATAAGAAGGCAGAGAGAAATGGGGAAAAGCTCTTAAATATAGTGAGTGATAGAGCGAGTATCGTTTAGCTTTTCTGTGTGAGCTTTTTTTCGACTATAGACAACTGCGTGTTGGGTTCTGCGATAAGCTAAATAAGTAATTAAGCTGGAATTGCCGGAGCCCATAAATTATTCAAATAATTTGCATTGCATATACTTAGCATAGCAAACTCCAGGAACTGGAATGGCTCGTATTTCAAATGCAAGCCAATCACAATGTACTGAAAACAAAAACACTCACTACTTCAAAGCACCACGAGTGCTGATAAGATAGGTGGCCAAATCGAAGCCAGCCAAAGCTCCATTGAATGAAAAATCGTGTGAAGCTCCAGTACCGAATCAGTCTAGCAAGTGGATTAACCCCGTAACAATGAAATTCCTAAGCGTTTTACTGGCCCTGTGCCTCTTCCTGGCCCTCACCATAACGCCAATTAGCTGCGATGACGCGGATAAGTTGGAGAAGCCATTCTGTCCCTGTCCCAGGAACTACGAGCCCGTTTGTGGATCCAACCTGGTCACCTACCCAAATCGATGCGAGTTCGATTGTGTACGTCGAAGTGTGGAACGCCAAGGACGCAGTATGGGACTTCTCAGAGCCGGAACCTGCTAAGCCCACAATCCTTTTGACAGAAGAGTCCAAGAAAAATCCAGAAATAAGTGCCTTGTATTAATCATCAATGTGGAAAATATAATAAAAATAAGCTTATCAGCCAGATATTTGGCATTGCATTTGATAGCGCTTGAACACTTTATCGCCAATACAAATCGTACAAAACGCGACACTGGGAAAAACTAGATCCCACTTTCGAGGGTCGCAGTGATTTATGAACTCAATACTTTCGATCAAGGTACTTTTTGCCACCAAAGATAACAAATAGTGTCTTGCGCGAATTTGTAACATAAATCTTTGATTAGTCACTTTTAATAAACATACACGTACCTTTCACATTATGAACCAGATTTTAAAAACATAATTACTTGTTCATTTATAAATAAAGTGACAATGATTTAAAAGCAATATACTGCATTTTTCTTTTCTTAAGTATTTTGATCAAAATTTAAACAAGTTTTTAGATTGGACACACTTAAATCATAGCTTTAAAACCGGCAAAATAAAAATATTTGAGACCATTTTTCACATTTTATATATTCGTGTTAAGTCAAGTTTTTAATCACAACATATGTGGTTTCATTTCGCAGCCCTAGTAAGACTTCCTATGATATAATTTTTGTTTTATTTGTTGGGAAACATTTGTCTAAATAGAATTCAAGCCAACAATTGGGTCAATAACAAAAACCCAAAAAAGTTCATATATAAAAAAATTCAGTTCTCTGTAGAAAAAGGTTCTTCATCTAATTTATTTCAATTCTGCTCTGATATACAAAAAAAAATAATAATAATTAACGTATTTGATTAGTTAAACGAATTAATTTGCACTGGCATGAAGCATGAAGCTATTGGAAATAAGTACTTTAAAGCCTGAAAAATATTAAGTAATTACAACCATTTGAGATATTTAAGGATTGTTTTACCACTGAATATTTAAACAACATCGTTTGTATTTGTTTTATCTTAAACGATTTCTCCGAAACCAGAACCATAATAATTTATTCCCTGTTCGTGATACAAATGTAAGTGGATATCCAGTTGGCGATATATGTTCCCTTTCCTAGCAACTTCCTTCCCTTACTATGGTAACGTTGAGTCCATTCTTAATTTTACAGTTAAGATGACACTTGTTGTAGGTTTTGTTGTCCGATCCGCACACAGGGATATAGATGAAATGACATGGGCAAGGAATATGGGGATTTCGGCCCACAACAAGGGCCAAAAGAGCGAACATGCTGAGTGCGATGAAAGCTAGGCAACGCATGGCTATAATGCTAGTTAGGCAAAACTGGAGCTTTCACACTTGATCGCCTCTTATTTATAGATAAACCGGAACCTTCCACCTTCGCAAGTCGTAATTCGCTGGAAAATGTACAGTAATGAACCGTGAATTTGGCACTTCCTGAAGGTCAAAACTATCAGATGCTCGCAGTCTTATTCCTCCGATTGTTCTACCAAGACTGCATTTTAATGTATTTATTACAGACAAGGCTTTATTTGTTTAAATTTAAATTCCTAGTGTCAATCACAACACCCGACAAACATACCTTCATTTCGCCTCCATATTATTATTATTATTTTATTAGTTGGTGGGTAAATTTTTGGCAACATTTGTCCAAATAGAATACAAGCCACCAATTGGGTCAATAACAAAAACTTAAGAAAGTGCACACATAGAAGTTCAGTTCTCTGTAGACAGTTGTTATTCATATAATTTACTTCAATTCCGGCTTTGTTAGACCAATTGAATGGAAATCAATATTTTTTTATTTAAATAGATTACTTAGCATTGACGTAAAACTATTGGAAATAAATACTGAAAAGTCTGATAAAATAATAAATACTTAACTTTGGAAATATTTAAGAAATAGGTTGACTGTGCCAGTTAAACAGTTTCTATTTGTATTCTACCTATGCGGTAAACAAAACCGTTCGTTTAAACACAGTTTAAGCTTCGGACTAAGTTTATTATTCACATTTTATCAAACAAATGTTGACGATCACCAGTTCCGAACCATGTTCCGTTTCCTAGCACCTTTCCCTCTTTACTATGAAAGTGGAGCTTCTGTTGTTGACTGCACATTTGAATTCGCACTCGTTGGAATACGTCACGAAGTCCGATCCGCACACAGGATTATAGATGTCAGGACATATGCAAATGAGCTCGGATTGCTGGCCCACAGCCAGGGCCAAAAAGGAAAACAGGCTGAGTGCGATGAGAGCTAGGCAACGCATGGCTATAATGCTAGACAGGCTAGTCTAGAGTGCACCTTTCAAACTTGATCGTCACTTATTTATAGATATTCAGAGCCTCTAGAACCAGAAGCCGTAGTTTGGTGGAAAAGCTACAGCAACAAAGCGTGGCAAAAGTAGTTTTTCAGTGGAAAAGGTTGTAATGAAATAAATACGGTTGTAATTTTAAATAAACTAAAAATACAATTTGTAAAATGCACCATTGGTCTCGGACTCAATGGGGATTGCCCATCATCTAGAGGCCATGGCGTATACGCAATATTAGACATGAGCAAACGAAACTGGAATCTTTTTATAAATATATTGAAATATGTGTATATATACACGCTTATTGTTCCTAGTTCGCTCGTTGCTCGCAGCTGCTGGCCTTGGAATCTTTCGCACAAAAAAATCTTTTTTAGCCTGGCCTAATAAAATCCTTCCAACGCACAAAAGCAATTTCAGTCTAATCTTGTAGTGCCAAAGGAGGCAGCTTAGCCTGGTCGAATCAAAGCAGAGGATATTACAAGATGAAGCTGAAGAAAAGCTTAAGCGGAAGGAGAATGAGTGGGTATTCCCGGATGCCATAGTGATTGGCAAATGCTCTTTTTATAATGTTTAAATGATTAAGTACACAGTTAAAAAAAATTTAAGTTACTAACATGAATATGAATGGCTGAATGAGAAAGTGTTCCACTTAAAGACAGACAAAGCTTATAAAATACCGGTGACCTTAAGCCAAAGCACCAAGTTTCATTTTGAATATTAATTAATCAAATTTAAACTACTAGTTTGGAGCTATTATAAAAGTGATATATGTTATTTTCGGCACAATTTACGATACGCCCCTTCATTCTCAAAAGCAAAGAAGCAAAGAAGTATTCCGACCCTTTTGGCCAAGAAGCAAACAAAATACACAACACAAATACACTTTTGCTAAGCCCGACAGTATTAGAAACGAGGGATTTGCAGCAAGTGAAAGACAACAAAAGGATTTGGGGCTCACATAGATGTGTGCACAAGCGGGGATAGTTTGAATACTGATTGCCACCCAGAAACCTGTTGGATCCCACGCTGAAATGTAGATGCACGTTGGAATAACATTAGTTAAACAGTTGAAAACTCGTTTTAATGTTGTTTCGCGCCATCTGATTTTTTTTTTTGTATCTTCATGTATTTAAATGCAATATATTTCATTCAGCATGATTGATAAGAAGCAGAAAGTAATAACACTTCCATTCGACTTCCATTTTCAGTTGCCAGCACGCCGGAGAGTTTGCCCAGCAAGCGGGACGAGGCAAGTGGTGGGGCGGGCCCCACTGGTGGCACAAGTGGTGCGGCAACGAGCAGCGGTGGTGCAGCGAGCGGTGCAGCGAGTGGGTCAGTTGGAAGTGCAACCGGAACGGGAACCGGGACGGGACCGGGATCGGGATCGGCGTCCGGAGGAGCAGCTGGTGTCAGTACGCCGGCACAAGAAGCCGCCAGTCCCACGGTCGCTGAGCTCAGTGGCAGCGGCTCAAATGCGACAATAAATGGTCAAGTGGCAAGTAAGTAGAGAGCAGCTCATGGCATTTTGCGTCCGTTGTGTCCCCGCTTGTGTGTGCATTATTTTTGCATATTTCATCATCTAAGCCGCCAAGTGCTCCTGGTTTTGTGGCTCTGTGGGGAGGTGGCATTATAATTTCCATTTTGAGGACAGCATACCGCTTGCATAATCCATCCTGCCCAAGCTGCGGAGATTGCGGTGGCTAAGTCGGTTTGACATCGCTCGGAAGTTGCAGGAATTTAGATGGGATAGCAATTCGTGGGTTGTTGTAGCTGGAAACCAAATCGGCTAATTGAAATTGCATTGCAGCGCAGTTGTCTTAATTACATTTTGGCTTAACCCAACTGATTTGGACACATCTAAAGAGCTTATTTTAATCCCAAAATATGGGGGTAATTCACCACTAGAACACCATACCATATATATTTATTAAAAGGCCTTCTTTATCAACGCAAAACTTAAACGTAGCTTACACACATATTAAAAAATAACTAATTTTAATTACGACAAAGTTTGTATTTTTCAATTTAATCATTAAATAATCCTGCAGTTTCAAAGACAATATTTGTTGGGCAACCTGATCATTGCACGTACTTATTTAAACTTACATAAGGAAATCAAATGCGTTGCCAACTAATAGATGCACTGATTAACGTTGATAGCGTTGAACTAAAAACGCAGGCTTGTATTATTGTAAATATGTATTAGGAAAACTGCTGATTATGGTGATACATTATAAAAAAATTTGTTTATTGAATCCAATAATATAGCATGCGCTATTAATGGTAAACTTATTCATATACTCACAAATCGATGTCTGAAAATTAAAGGCGACACATCGAATAGCATAGAACTAGGGGATAAAACTAACTTCCAAACAACTATTAATAATGATAGAACCATTAGTAAATCTTTTTGCTTAGCCCTAAAAAGAGCAAAACCTTTTTCTTCTGGTTACATGATTACTGATCACAAGCGTTCACCGAATTTATTTTCCCGCTGGCCACATATTAAATCTTTTATCCCAGCACACGCCACCAAAATATTGTACACAAAAAGTAGAACCTTCCTTTTGGTTCACCCCGTTTGCCAAATCCAAAACAGCGAACACAAAAAGTGCAATGGGAATGTAGCAATTCATGGTCGCCGAATAAAGTGAACATCACCTGATGGTAATCTGAATTATATAGCCATAAGCCAGGAAATCGTTAGAACTTAGAGCGTTAAGTCCCTGATTTCGAGCTATATTAGCAGTTCTTAATTTAGCATATTTTAGCTAGCAAATGCCAACCAGGCAAATCACTAAATGTGCTGAAAAATATTGATTTAGGCCTTCAGGTAGTGAAGTGAATCGATTAAGCCATTAAACAAATATAATTTTAAATGTATATATGTACATATATGGTACTTACTAGCATAAATCAGAAAATTATAATTTTAGCTGAACATATCTAGTAAAAGACTTAGTTTTAAGTTAAACTGGCCCGTTTTGTTCCAAATATATTTATGCTAGATAACATTATTTTATGTTACGTCAGTAGGTGGAAACCTAAACTATCTAAGTGTATAAAAAAGATTGATGGTGGGCCATCGATCATGTTACCAGTTGCGAAACGCACTTTATGCGGCCATCAGCCCATTTAATTGCCGGCAATTTCCACCACCGCGTTCTCATGGGTCAAAACAAGCGGAATTGGGTTTTCGGGCGTAAGGCGATGCCAGGTGGGGATAGCAGAGCATTTTCCTCCGGTTCCCCCAACATTGTGGGGTAAAATGAAGCGTTGAAAGTCATTAAGGACGTGAAGAGGCGCCAGTAAAAGGAGCATAAAACATTTCATCCCAAAAACTCGACTCGATAAAGAGCCCGCGCATCTAGCAGTTAAGCGAAGGAATCTCGGGTGTAACATAAATTTAAGTGCAGCATAAAGCGGATTTTATGACTGCCCCATCACCTTTCTCCCGGGCTGCTTGCACTGTCAAAATAAATGGAATGCAGTTAAGATTCTCGACACTCCGTTCTTCTGGGGCAGCTACACGGATTGCACCCCCACCTAGCCACCTTGCCACTTGACAAACACCCACCCACAGATAAATCCTTTGCACTTTTTCGACACACCCAGGATGCCAACTTGGGGCCAACTTAGGGCCAACTTAGGATGATGCCACTCAGCGAACTAGAGGGGGAGTGGGGCCAGGACATGCCTCGGAGGAGGAACTTCTTTGGGGCTTTTGTTCGCTGCTCGTTAAGCATTTTCCCCCCCACTGGGGCTAAACTAAATAAAGAATTCTATGCTACAATGGCCCCAAATGATGGGAATAAATTATTGATTTCTTGTCCATTGCGCCCAACGATTTTTGATCTACAACGGATGAAGAATTGCAAAATCAAAACTAAAAGGTGTCTTTATTTTTTATTCCTGGGTAGCAGAACGTTTTCAGCAGCACAACTTTGTTGGAATTGTATATTAAAATAAAAACAAAGTAATTCACACCATTATATACCTATTGAATCCTATTTTGCATACTTTGTAGCCACTGTACTCGTTTTACCCACACCCCCTGCCTTTTAAGTCCTTTGGGGGCCTTGTGTGCTTCGTTAGATCCCAGTAGGTGCCCCTAATCAATGTGTCAACAGTGAGAGTGATATAGCTATATAAGCAGCAGTCGTTCCTTGGCCTTCACTGAATTCTCCCGGCTTTCTTGCAGGACACGGCTCACTGACGATTATCCGGCGCACAAACAGCCGCAACTTTACCCAATTCGACGGCCAACTGGCATCGCCCTCGACCACCGCCTGCAGCAGCACAGTGCCGGGAATTGGCTTCGCCCAGACGCCGCTCAGTGACCCACTTGCGGAGCGAGTGAGTTTCCGTGCCGGTGGATCCAACGGATCCGCGTCCGCCGGCGACAGCCGATCCAGCAATCAGGCCCCACCAAGCTCCGGACCAGCCGCCACCGCGAAAATGCAGCCATCATCGCCGAATGCCACCAACTATCTGGCCGATAATATTCAGATCTCGTCGGCCAATCTATCGCAAACCGAAATGGTCGCGGGTCGCGAATCGGCCGACTATACCAACATGCACTCGATTAACTTGGGCGTCGCCAACAACTCGTTACTGCGGGGCGACACCGATATTCCGCAGGAGTCGGGACACTCCTTCGAAACGCCCTCGAATATGTCCTTCGCCGCCGGGCAATGGGATACGGAGAGTTTGCCGCCAGTCGACACGCCAGATGCTCTTAACAAAGCGGCCGGGAGGTAAGTTCGTGCCTATCAAAGGCATAGTATTAATCCAAAACAGCTCTTACCGCGGTACACGAAAATAGACAGAAAAAGCCTAGTGACGATCGCACCTTTGACGTACAAGGCTTGTGACGAACATTGTTCTCTATCCTCTAAGATGAAATACCTGCCTGTGTGTAGGCAAGCAGACCATGGTTACGTGGTGCACAGCTTGGACTGATCCGGATAGAATAAAATGTTCAGGCCCGATCGACACTAGTTATAAACCAGGCGCCAGAAATGGTATAGAATAGTATACGAGTACTTAAGGCGGTACATTTGAATTTCACGTTTTAGGCTCGGTAGTATTTTGCTTTCGAGCTCATTACCACTAGACATTCTATTCGTTCTGTATATGCCATTGTTAATGTTTATTATTATTTATTTATTAGCATCTTCCTCTCTTTTCAAAAGTAACATCCTTAACTAGCGCTGCACAATTGAGTTCGCATAAGTTGTTGTAGGTGACGTTGTCCGATCCACAGACAGGTCGATAGAGCCTTGGGCAGGGGCAAAGGGGTCTTGTGACTTGGGCGCCAGTCAGGACCAGGACTGAAAGCAGGCACAGAGCGATGAAAATCGGGATACGCATGGCTTTCGTTTTGCACTGATCAGATACGAATGGCACACAATCGGCCACAAATAGGCGTCTTATACATTATGCAGCCGGAAGTGCTTCATTCTGTAGGCGATACATTTTAATTTTACGTATTAGGGTATGGCAGAGTAATTTGAGATAGACGGACGCTTCACACAGATTCATGTGTATTGGTACACACATTATTTTTACCTAACAATTGGTAACAACTAATTTGCTCGCAATAGATGCCTTTGTACGTTCAAAAGTTAAACGTGACCTTGCATTTATTTTCTCTTTCTGACATATTCGTCATCTAATTTTTTGTTCATTTTCTGTTGAAAGCGTTTAGTAGTTATGCAACCAAAGTGGTAATTTTTTATTTTATTCAAGGGGTTCCCTTTGAGAACTATTGCTGCGACAGCGTCCTAATTTGACTTTCGTAACATTTTTTTGGCACCTGAGCCAGCAACCGTTGGCGTATGTGTTGTTGTCCGATCCGCACACAGGGTAATAATTCAAAGGACATATGCAAGGTGGCTTAGGCGAATTGGCAGTCGATTGGCCCAAAAGTGCCAGGAAGCTCAGCGCGATCAGGACTGCACAACGCATGTCTGTAGCGGAAGACTGGTGGTTCACCAGGCGGTCACACATTTTTATAAAAGCCCCGAGAAACTATACACTAATGCAATATACCCTAGGTATTCCAATTTATCACGTTCTGGTATAGTGTCACGGTACATTGGTTCAATTATGCCGCCTTGACCAATTGTAGCTAACGAAGAACTACGAACAACAAGGCCTATTCCACACTTACTTTCTTCCCTGAATTGCAAATTTGGACTCCATAATTCAAAAGGCTTATCATTTAATCAATTCGCGCCTATCTTACCGAAATTCTTCTTTTATACTTATTTTATCACAACGTAAAGCACGGATTTTTAAATGAATCTTATTTGTGCCGAAGGCTGGAAGTTAAGCATATACACTAAAGGCGATGTTAACAAATAATATTTTTGTTTAATGCTTTTCTTATTCTACGTTATCAAAATGAAGAAAATATACGATGATGAATTCCTTCTTATGTCTTCTTATATTACTCGAATTTTATTTATACATGTGTGCATATATTCCTTCCTGCGGCAGAGTAATACTCTGTCATATTTACCAATTCACATTACAGCACTTATGATTTCTTCAATTCCACAGAATACGCAGTCTCCTCCGCCGCATGGATCATGAGGCAGTTGCCTACGAGGACATGCAGCGAAATCTCCACTACGCGGCTCGTGTGCTCGAGGCCGTCTTCATAGACGAATCAAGGTAGGTGAAAGTGGCGCCCCTAGGCTGCACAGATATATTCCCAAAGAACCAAACATTCTGCAAGCTTCTTGGCGAGCTAGCCTAACCAAGAGGATAGCGAGTCGACTGAGTCGAAGTGATCTGTGGACAACTCTGCTTCAGCTTGGGCTTCTTTGGGGCTCCCATCGAATTGGTGTAGGCCTGGTTAAGCATTTTTAGTAGGGCCCAAAATAACTGTAATGCTGCGTAGTTTCAAAATTTCGGATTTGCACCCCAGGCAAGCTTTCCCTTCAGCGATAACCCAGTCCAATCACCCATCATCAAGTCATCCAGTTTCGCTATATAATAAACATACTCCTAAGAGACGAACGAAGGTTCGAGGTCCTTGTTATACCTACTGAATGTATACATATATCTGAATATTTTTCTTTTTATATCCGTTCTGTTACTGTTACTGTTACTGTGTGTGTGTCTGTGTTATTGAGCAGAAGCCCCACATCAGGTAAAACAAAGTTGGGGCAGATTGCGTCCTCATCCGTTGGGAGCGAAGAGTAAGTGTTCCCATCGAGCCAACCTTGTCGCTTTGGTTTTGTCGTTAACTCTGTTGATTTGAAACTCTAACATCTCTTCTATAGTAAAACCATACCCGAACTCGCGCCCACATGAATCCAATAACTCACAATAACCACTATTATTCAGCTACTATCTCACCTCTTTCTACTTTCAACTTCTTTCTAACTCTGTTACCGACTTTTTCTATCCTCATTCTTTGTAGTGCTCTCTTCAGTTCGTGTATTTCGACTATCGAGATCTATTTTTTGCCTTGCTCTACCAGTAAAAAAGGAACTCTAGTCCTAGAGCATCATCATAATCCTCACCATCACCATCAATCGTATCTGTACTGTCTTCTATAACTCATCGAACTCATTGCCATAGAACGTTTGCAGAGATCGAGTATTTCTTAGCCATAGCCTAGCCTTACGTAACGTATAACTGTGTACTGTATTCTTCGGATCTTGAGAGTTACTAAGCTAAGGTTAAGACCCCAAACACCGCCCCTAACGAATCGCAGCACCGTATTTTATTAAAGAACTGTCTCTAACTCAATTCTCGGTGTCTTACTTATGTGCTCGCCATTTCTTTCGGTGTATTGCATTACGTCTACTCCATTCGTTTGTCAATTCGCCAGATGGAATTCTCTGTGTGCTTCTACTGAATTTAATCCGTTCTCTTCTTCTCTGCTATAACTTCGCCTTTGAATTCGACATACAACTTTAAGTAGAATATTTTTGAAGGCCTGAAATCGGAATAATATTTTTTAGGATTTTTCCGGGACTCAGCATTCCAGCTAGCAAAATCTCCACCATACAGCATTGTTAGCTTGAGTACTGGGCCTCCTCACTTTTTCTTTTATTGATTTAGAAAATGTTCAAATCGTATTCCGGTAAGCAAAATCATTTTACAACCCGATTTTGGTTCGCTTCACAGCCGCAAAAGTGTACTCTCCGCAAATACAAGCCCAATGCATCAGTGCATTTTTATTATTTACCACACTTTCAATTAAATCCCCTCCAAACCACACCCGAATGTCATCTGCATATGCATGGAGTATGCGGCATCCATTGTATTCAGGTGGCGGGGAACATGAATTAATAAACATTTTTCTACCTACCGACCCACACATGACACGATTCTTCGATTTACATGGCCAAGTGAGGCTGAGTAGAAAGTCGTTTTCCCATTTATTTTAATGTTTTTCCCGAGACAGCTCTCAAAGTTAAGGAGTTAAGTTCGATTACCATTTGGCCTACTTTTTGTTTTAATTCGGAGTTGATGCACTTTTAAATCTTGCCCTAACAGATGAAATTGAATTTTGTAGTAGGCAAGCAATTATGTTTAAGCATTTTTATTTTTACAATTTTTGGATAAAGGAAGGGCGAAATTTAAAACAAAAGGCTAATTGACAGATCTTTTGTTTATATATCTTCGTGGGAAAAGTCGAATTCTCTGCCCCAACTAAACCCAAAAGCTTTATCACAATCTCTCAACTGACGTTCTATTTATATATTCTTTCTTTCTATTGCCAAAACTATTTACCTAAAAAAAATACATGAAAACTTGTACACAAAACACACAATCAATCCGAATGCTATGCAACATCAAATCAACGTGGTGTCTCGTAACCGAAAATTGCCCATTCGCACCGGTTCGCTGTTACTCACTGCCAACTGCTGGGCGCCGAAAAACTTGACCGCCTTGCCACTCGAAACTGGCCACTAAATCTGCAGGGGGGGCTGCAATGGGAACTGCAAGAACCTGAACTGCAATCGCCACAGCCACGGACGAGATGACCAGCAGCAGGACAACAACAACTCGAACAGCAGTTGCAGCCTGCAGGAGGCGACGCCTGGGGGTGCAGGTGCAGGTGCAGGTGGAGGTGCGAGTGCCAAGCCAGCCGCTGACAACCAGGACAGCATAGAGTGTCGCACCAAGGGCGTTTCCCAGGCCCCGCAGACCCACAGTGGCCCAACGGGTCCGCCATCCACCACCGCGAGCGAAACAGTCGCACCACCTGCCCCTAAGCTTCAACCCGCCCTGGAAACCGTGAGGGAATCGGTGATGGAGGAGAGTCCTTCGAAGGATCCCGGCGACAAGGGACCTACAACGCCCCACCCCACCACCACCACCTCCACACCCAGCACCTCCTCCAGCGCAACCACGGAGCCAAGTGCCAAGGCGGCCGAGAGTCAAGCGGGAAGTGCCGGCAGCAGTGGCAGTTGCAGTAACCCAGCGACGGTGCACCGGCAACGGCGCCTAAGGACACCCACCTGGGCCAGGTCCATGTCGACGAACAAAACGTACTTGAAATTTGATTTCTAAGCTAGACTAACGTTATCCGTTGCGCCTCTTCAGTTCGTTCGATTTGCCTTTATCGTTTCACGTTTGCGTTAACAAGCCAACAACAACAACTACACAGCTCCAGAATGAACTACTTTCTCCTATACTAGTATATATACACACATAACTCTATGAACTCTGTCTCTCTAACTCTCTATCTCTCCTCTATCCAATCTATCTGTCTGCCGACCTCTGTCTGCGATTTCCACTGCTGTAATCTTCTGTCTAGCCTCTGTCCCCTCCCCAAATCTTTTGCTCGCTTCTATTGTAAATAACTATTTTATCCTAGACTAATCAAAAAAAGGACACTTGTTTCGTTCCCCACCCGCTCTCTGCGTGATTGTAAATGTTTCGTTGTCGCGATTTGACAAAATAAAACCAAAAAATATATAATTACTACGTGATATTTTTAAATATTTCCAATAAACGTAGTAAGCTTTTGAGGGCGTAAAAACTGGAAGATGTGATAGTTTCCCATAATATATTTAAAATGATTTAAAAGAGCTTCATGTAAAGCCTTGGGTAAAAATAAATTCTTTTCATTTTATGAATTAAACGATTTCTGGAAAACTTTAACTTCCACTTTTTACACCACTCACAAGCAGCAACTCTCCTAGTCTTGTCGACCAGTGTCATTTTGTGAATACATGTACAAAGTTTGAATACCGCACATGAATCCATGGCATGTTACTTGTCCTACATTTGTTTGTTTTCTTTATTAAAAAAAACTAGCATGCGCATGTGTTTGTCGTTTTTGAAATTTTCAACTTTCCCGCCTAAGTGTAAACTAATTTTTGCCAACACTGGCCAGCTGATCGTGACCAGGTGGCCACGCTACGCAATGGTAAGACCGTACTGCCCGCAATGTCTCGATATTTTACGCGATCCGTGACTGGGGTCACACTATTGCCGCCAAAAAAAACATTTTTTACTCGCCTCGTTATTTAAACATTTAAAATAGCAATATCGCAAAGTTTATTGAAGACGGGCGCCTGATTTGGGGTTCGTTTAACCGTGTAAACGTGCCGCGCGTTCGAAATGAGCAGTGATAAAGTGAAAAACGGCAACGAGCCCGAAGAGTCGGAGGAATCATGTGGCGTGAGTAGCGAATGACAAATGGCTATGCGAACGGAGAACTAATGGATCTTTTGGGGCTTATGGGGGCTGCAGGATGAGTCCGCCAGTTACACCACCAACAGCACCACCTCGCGCAGCAAGTCCCCGTCATCCAGCACACGGAGCAAGCGCCGCGGACGCCGGAACACCAAATCGAAGCCAAAGAGCCGCGCCGCCTACAAATACGAGTAAGAAATGCAATTTCTGCACTGGCAACTGATTCTGAACCGATTCCACCTCCAAATGCCTACTGCAAAGCACCCACGTGAAGGAGAATCACGGAGCCAACATCTTCGGCGTGGCCTTCAACACGCTGCTGGGCAAGGAGGAGCCCCAGGTCTTCGCCACGGCGGGCAGCAACCGGGTGACCGTCTACGAGTGCCCTCGCCAGGGCGGGCTGCAGCTGCTCCACTGCTACGCAGATCCGGATGTGAGTCGCCAGGATGCACAAGCAATTTCAAGGCCCTATTGATCAGTTGGCTATAGTTAGGGCATCTTATGTTGAGAATCGCTTAGCTCAGTCAACGTTTAAAATGGGTCATCGATTTTGTTCTCCGTTTTAATGGCTATTTAATGGTCATTTAATGGTCATTTGCACTTTCACGAGCTATTCATTCTCCATTTGGTTTCGCAATATCCAGAAACTAGCACCTCCAGTTAGGATTTGATTATGAGCTTTAAAGCTGTTTTTATTCCATGTGCGTCAATTCTGAAAACAGACGAATTCATAGCAAATTAAATTCATTTGGTTGTAGGCAGCAATCTTTTAAGTAAAAGATGTTAGTGTTCAGCCAAAATAACTGAAAATATGGGCCGAAAACCATTTTACACACTCGAAATATACCAACAAAACTTGAATTCACTTCACAGCCCGATGAGGTATTTTACACCTGCGCCTGGTCGTACGACCTGAAGACCTCTGCCCCGCTTTTGGCAGCGGCTGGATACCGCGGAGTCATCAGGGTGATTGACGTCGAGCAGAACGAGGCGGTGGGCAACTACATCGGTCATGGACAGGCCATTAACGAGCTGAAGTTCCATCCGCACAAGCTGCAGCTCTTGCTGTCGGGCAGCAAGGATCACGCGATAAGACTGTGGAACATCCAGAGCCACGTGTGCATCGCCATCTTGGGCGGAGTGGAGGGACATCGCGATGAGGTGCTGTCCATTGACTTCAATATGCGTGGAGATCGCATTGTTTCGAGCGGCATGGATCATTCGCTGAAACTGTGGTGTCTGAATACGCCCGAATTTCATCACAAGATCGAGCTGTCGAACACTTTTAGCCAGGAGAAGTCGACCCTGCCTTTCCCCACGGTGACCAAGCATTTCCCCGACTTTTCTACGAGGGATATACACAGGAATTACGTGGACTGTGTGCAGTGGTTTGGCAACTTTGTGCTCTCCAAGTCCTGCGAAAATGCCATTGTCTGCTGGAAGCCGGGCCAACTCCATCAGAGCTTCGAGCAGGTGAAGCCGAGCGACTCCTCCTGCACGATCATCGCGGAATTCGAGTACGACGAATGCGAGATCTGGTTCGTGAGGTTCGGCTTCAACCCGTGGCAGAAGGTGATCGCCCTGGGCAACCAGCAGGGCAAGGTGTATGTGTGGGAGCTGGATCCCAGCGATCCGGAGGGCGCCCACATGACCACCCTGCACAACTCGCGCAGCGTGGCCACAGTGCGTCAGATCGCCTTCTCCCGGGATGCCAGCGTGCTGGTCTACGTGTGCGATGACGCCACCGTGTGGCGATGGAACCGCAGACAAACGACTTCCATCTAATGGCGCACCAGGGCGCAACCACAAACCAAATCTCACGTGGCCAAAACTTACAACATTTCCCTCGATTAGTTCCTAGTTGGTTAGCCTTAAGGTAGAATTACAGTGCGCACTGCCTCAAATTATGTCTAATAAATCCAATTAATAGTTGGGTGAGGTTTAAATATGTTAAATGGGCTGCATCGCCTGTAAAATCGAAGAACGAACAGTTGTTAGTTCAATTTTAGTTCTGTTTGCTACTGATTCCTTTATTTATTGCACATAAAGTGAAGACAATTCCATGTTTACCTCAGATTAAAGATGTATTATCTGGAATTCATGCTGCTGCTCTTTAAGCAACGTAATGTAAACGTCTTCGAGTTGGCTGAGTGTCCCCAGTTGGCAATTCTAATTGTGAAACAAAGCAAAGCTCCGCACAACAAATGGCTGCTTCCATTGCTGCGTCATTTATATGCATTGCTGCACTGCCATCCAGCTCCAATCTGCTGCCTTAGCCCGGGTGGAGATGTGGGGATAAGCGCGACGAAATTGAAACTGCCAGCGGGAAAGTCATCCCCAATCGGGATGAGTGAGTAACCAAGCGGCGAACGGCGAACGGCGGACGGCGATCCCAACCAGCCATAACAGCTCCCAGCAGACTGATTAGGCGAGCAGCGCAGAGTGCCACAATGATTTGCCATGCCCTAGCTGAATTTTTATTGAATGCTCTCGTCTGACGAAAGTGCAGACCATTTCCATCATGGCTTTTTCGGGCGCCTCTAATGGAGGTTTATGAAAATAGCTTGTTTCATGGCGATGGGTATTTTGCTGGGGTTCCCAAATGGACCACTACGTCTGCAACATACACATGAAATGGAAATTATGCGAAAGGTTTAGCCGTATTTTTCATTTGGTGTGCAAACACGCACATATAAAGTTCGCTTTCCATATTTTTCCTGCGGTTTTATGGGCCATTCTAAACTACTGGCATTTAGCTGGATGAAAACGCATGTATTTCTAGATTTTTTGTATTCTATTTCAAGCAGTAGCATGTTAGGGTATTCGACAGTCTTGGGCATGGCAAACGTTTATTTTGGCTCACATCTTTCTTGGCTGATTGGGTTTGGCATCTTCTTTGTCCGCCGCTCGCTGGCCGCACTTCTTTGATCTGGAAACCGGGTCCGTTCCACTCCACTTGGTGGTTGTGAGTAATTAGCTGGAGTTGACTCGCAACGACTTGGCATCGGCATTAAGTTGTCGAACTGGGCGATGATTCCCAGAACTCGTCGGGGCTTTAGCCTTGACACGCAAAGGCCAGCTAATCCGGAGCCATTGTTCTAGTTTTCTTCTTTCGGGCCATAAATTAAATTGGCCAGCGAAGTGGGGAAGCGGATCGCTCTTGCTCCTTTTGGGCGCTGCATTATTTTTGTCATCCGTACTTGTTTGTCTGTCTGTCCAGATGCAACTCGGCACGCTCCTCGGCCACCAGCTCCACACACGTCCTCAGCTACGCCCGTCGCCACAGTCACATCCACGAGAACGACTACGACCACTCCAACAAACGACGCATCATCCGCCTGCGGTTTGTCCACCCACTCCGCCATATTCCACGCTGTCTGTTTTGATGTGGTTGCACTCGAAAAAATAGCACTAGCTTCAGCAAAAAAATATTACATATTTGAGGTAGTATTTGATTTCTTTAAAATCAGTTATAGTTGGTACAAAGAGAAGGTTCTAGAACAACTTGAAAAACGTGTTTTTTCAAGACTCTTTCGAAAAAGTAACTATTGCTAATATTAAAACATCAAAAACCTTTTTGCTAAACTGTGAATATACCTCGAAATGTACACATGCTGGCTACTGCATTTCTTCGAGTGCATTTGTGTGATTGCTTCTGCTGTCTGTTTTGTGTGCTCACTCGCAAAATACGCAATTACCCGCACCCTGCACCACGTCACCACGAATCCGAGTCTGAATCTGAATCCGAATCCCACACCGATGATGATCTGCGTCTGCCACTTGTCGGTCCAAAAATTAATCAAGCCAAGAGCCGCGCCGCCGACCAGGAGGAGCTGGAATCGGGAGT